GGGGGGTTGCACCCAGAAGCCCAATCTCAATCTCCCCAATCCACTGTGGCTTGTCAACGACAGGCAGCTTGACAGAATCTAAACATAGTTGTGACAGACGAGTAGGTTGTTGATCATCACTGTCAAACCCCAGCAAGCCCATATAGCGCAAGAACTCTGCATGTTCACTATCGCCCTCGGTTCATCAAACATATAGGTAAAGGGGTGTGTATATATATATATATATACGGTACGGCGCGCACATGGTACTATGGAAAAAATGCTGAGCTTTGCTAAGGCGCTGCAACATCCCTTTCCCCCTGCCTGGACAGTTTGATCCCGCTGTAGCTGCCCTCGATAAGCGCTCTCTTGCGATTCGCTTCAGGGGTTCGGAAACAAGCCGGGCAGTTCAACAAGGTGCAATTTTTGCCCATCCCCCAACGCATGCAATCAGCCTCATTGCGCCCACACTCCTCACTGGGAACAACAGCGCCAGATGCCGAGGACGCAGGCGCACCCATAGGCTCCACAGCGGGTCCTGCAGGACTGGATTCATCTGACATAGCTTCGCCATCCTCTTCCTCTTCAGATGAAGAGGCACCATCGCCATCAACAGGTTCCCCATCCAAGTCCTCATCCTCGCTGTCAGCAGCTCCTGAATCGCAGTCGCTAGCAGCATCAGGCGAAGCTTCCTTCTCAAGGTCAGCCACCACAGCGACATCCTGACCTTCCCCCAAAATCAACGTTCGCTCGTCGTCCACCTCATTGTCAGAGGGAGGGTCAGAAGCTGCCTCATCAGGCGTGGGAGGATCAGAGGCTGCCTCATCAGGGGTGGGAGGATCAGAAGCTGCCTCATCAGGCTGCCTCATCATCACTGGGAGGATCAGAAGCTGCCTCATCATCACTGGGAGGATCAGAAGCTGCCTCATTAGGTCCCCTGGCAAGATCAGCAAGAGGCTCAAGAGCTCCCTGATGAGGGCCAGCATCTTCGCGCATAGCCTGGTCGTGAACAAAATTGATGGATGGACTGTTCGGCTCAACCTTTGAACCTTTGAAAACGGAGTTGGGTAAACTTGCAAAATCCACACTTAAATCCCCACGCGATATTGATTGGTGCCCATGGGCCGCCTCCTCAACATCTTCCTCTCGCAGCGGCGCAGCCCTCCGCAGCTCGCCTTGTTGGCGACGAGCCTCATCAGTTCAATGGGTCTTTCAATGCGTAATAACAACACTGAGATGAACCCCATCCACCACCTACCCCATCAAAAACTTGCACGAGCAGATGAATGCACAGCAAGGAAACAATCGAGACTGGAGAAGGTTGCAGCAATCCCTTCAACTCTGCAACCTTGTCGTTGTAGCTCTCAGAACCTTTTTGATTGCAAGGCCAATATCTATAAATTGCAAGTTGCAAAAGACAAACATTGAATAACATTTTGTGGGGAACAAACGTTGCAAACAAGTTGTTGCGCAGTCAAAGGAACTGTTCCTGAACAAGTAGCGAAGGGCGCCCATAAGCTTCTTGCAGCGACCAGCCTCTGTGGCGGCTTGCGTTCGCTTTGACTCACCCGGTTTGCACAGCAGCTTGCCACCGAAGAGCTGGTCCAGCATCAACCACACGTCAGTCAGCAACACAGCCCCGGGAACATGATCACTGAAAACCTCGCAAAGCGGCCGGGGGAACACATAGTTCTGGGCGATTTCCTGTGAGGCAGTGCGCGAAGAGGTTCGTTCGGGTACGTCGCATGAGGAAAACTTGAAACAATAGTTAGCGTCCCACGTGCCAAATTTTGTCAACATAGATCAACATACTTTCAACCCTTCCTTGAAAGAAGGCCTTTGCACATCATTTGTAACCTGGACAAGATCTGCGCCGCCAAAATCACCATTGTTCACAAGCTGAACGGCCCTCGCGGGCATGGCTTGAAGCATCTTGCGAGCCACTCTTTCCTGACAGGTGGAAAGCTGGACATACCTTCACCAGTACAAGTCTATCTTTTGGGTTTCATACCTTTAAATATTTTTGGTCTTGCTTAGAAATCTTGTGTTGGCGCAAATTTGTCGTTGGATCTTTTTGAAGTGCAAAATATTTCTAAGCTTCAAAGCCTAGACGCAACAAATGCTTCGTTCCAAGGAACCTTGCCAGGGCCTTGAGCTGTCGCAAAGTTCACGGATTATCTAATAATGTTGCTTTTGTTTCGGGGGCTAAGCTG